CTGTACAAGTTACAAAAAAAACACCATCAGTGATATTGTGGTAGTTAGCAATATGCACTGAAAAGAAAGAACAATATTCAGATGCTGATTCCTGAACTTCTAACATCTAACTGGTGACCGCCAAGCATTTATCGTCAGCATCGATAAAGAAATAAGATAAAGAAACTTGTTCAATTATTTTGTGCTGAGAATTGAAATCATTTAATAACCCCCCCCATCAAAACAAATAAAATAAAAACTGAATTGATATATATATTATTCATTATATGTTACTGTATACTAGGGTATATAGTGTCACACATAATATAATAAATGACCAAATATGTAATCTAATTATTAATATTTACAATTATACTTTTGTTTACTAAACAATCTATGAAATATAAATTCACTTGGTATTGTTTGTTTGAAACTTCCCATTGGTGTTTAGCACTGCAATTGATCAGTCTCTTAAAGTATTATGAACATACTGTGCGTATTGCCTCAATATAGCCTCAAATCGCAAGCATTATAAGCAAAGATGGATAGTGGCTAGCAGTGGAATCCAGGACGCGCGTTTCGTCCTACTTGGGACTAGTCAGCTGGATGTACCTGCATCTCAGAGTTGATATTCACTCTGGGACTCGAACTCAGTGCTGTTCGCTTCAAACGCCATTGCATTATCCACTCAGCTACTGAGTCCTGATAGCCATTTGCTTGACGAGTCCCAAATAGGATGAAACGCGCATCTTGGATTCCACTGCTAGTCACTATACATCTTCGCTTATAATCTATGAAATAGATTAAATTATTGATTATATATTTTTTATTTTAAGCTTTGTAAACTTGAATCAACTTATTTTAGTGACAATGCTGAATACAGATTTTATATTTAAAACGATATATTCATCTTTGATCTGTCTATCTGATCTTATAAATATCAGAAATTCAAGAATGAATATTCAGTCAGTGTTGTTGTTTTGTTGCTGAGTAAAAAAAATTCTTAGACTATTAGAAATGAGTAAAGTTGAAAACGAAAGAATACTTCAGTGTAATCCAATATATCATTACTGTTACATAGTATGTATTCATTTTATTCAAAATCATCTAGGCATACCGTTTTAAATGTACCGCATTCGCAAATGCTTAGTGAAAAATTAAAAGCATATATTTGCAAACGACGAACACTGAATTCGGAACTTTGCCAAAATGAACCATGCTTCAGTCTTTGTACTTGTATTACTCAGAATCATACTTCCAGGTTTAATTTATACTGCCAAACAGCATTCCTAGTAAATTTAACGAAATTTCAACTTGGTATACTCGAGACCGTAGGTTGTTTGTTTGATTCATGGTGGCAGGGTCATAGATGCGCACTGATGAGGAAATCAGTAATAGACGAAAAGGATGTCCAGTATTTCTAAGTTTCTAATGGTTGTCTAAATTGGATCAGTTTGTAATTTCAATGAAAAACAATTTGCAAGCTAAAAATCTCTAAATACTTCCATTTTGTTTAGGCAACTTTTGTCTATTGTATATGAAGCTCATGATAATTTCGTTAATTTGCAGTAATCTTGACAGAATGCATAAATGTGGAGAAATACTGAGAAAAATCTAACCCTAAGTTAAATAATAATACAAAGACTGTTTGATAACCTTTTATTTCATAAGCATATTTTTTTACAACAGTTATTAACTCGCAAGGTGGGATAGTGAATGTGCACTGCTGAGGAGTCCCTTAACAGGACGAGACGACCACCCACTGCTTCCAGGTTTTCCATGGTGGTCTAAGTTTAGTTGACCCATGAACTCAACTGTTAGGTTATTTTAATGTTTCTCACCACTACAATATATTCTATCATTATGATTGTTTTTAAGATTTAATTGACCCTAGACATTACTATGTTTAGTAAATGTTAGAGTTGATATCATTCATAAATGATCTATCTGTAAATTATAGCAAATAATGTAAAATATGTATGACAAGAACATGCAAAATTTTAGGTTATTTTTTCAACTGAATTATAATCTTTGTTATGAAGTTGGATTTCGTTGATGGGAAGGTTATCAATCTTTATAGAAACTCAGAATTGGACTCTAAATTCATATGAACTTTGTAGTAGATATTACTTACTGATGTCTGTTACCCCTCACGGAGGAGCATAGTGAGCTCAGAAGCATTCGCCTTACAACTCTCTCTTGAAGAATCCTTTCGAATTGTTTCCAGCTGCTATTCATCCCCTTCATGCCTGCATCCAATTCCCGACGGACTGTGTTCTTTGACCTCACTCTTTTCCGTTTCCCTTCAGGATTCCAAGTTAGCTCTTTCTTCATGATGCAGTATGGTGATTTCCACAATGTATATCCTATCCACCCCCAGCTCCGTCTCTTAATTTCCTCTTCAGCTGGAAGCTGGTTTATTCACAGTAGGCTGTTGTTAATGGTATCTGGTCAACGGACATTGAGTATCTTATGTAGAGAACTGTTAATACGACCTCATAAGTAATTCAATCAGATCATCCAGCTCAAAGAATAAAACTCCGTCAAAAGGAGTTACCATAAAAATTACTTAAAAGTATCACACTTTGTTTAATGTTGACCTTATAATATCAATGTGCCAGTAAGTTTTTCTTCTTTCATTAAACTTTCATTAGACTATACAATACTATTCAAGTATTTTAATGCTCTCAAAAGTTCCTAAATGATCCTGAATAATTTGTAAATTCATTTTACATTTATAATGTCTCCGGATTTTCAGTAATACCTACATCATAGTCTGTGAGATAAGTAAAAAGGAATCATGTCACAAATGAAAATTATCTTACACAGTTTTTTTTAATAATTTCATACCAAAAAGTGTCAACATTTCAAACGAACGGAAACACGTACATATTGAATCATTTATATCCTGTTTAAATTTAGACAACATATGAATAAAAAGTACATTTGAATAAAGTGAAGTCATATGATTTTATTAGATAACTCAAGTTAATGTAATTTTATTCCATTTAGTTGTGCTAACGAGGTATGGCAACTTCTGTGGTGAGGTCTACTTATATTCATATAAGTAGTTTATGGTGATGGTCAGACTTAGAATGTATTTTAGAAGATCGATAAGGAAAGAACTGAAATAAAGCGCAATTGGTAGGAAAATACACAAACAATGAAATTAGAGAAGATGGATTAATATTTACGGATGGAACAGTGAAGATTGAGACAATTGATTGTTATTTTGCGAATTAACTGTTTACTGTAGGCAAGGTAAATAAGTCAGTGCGTTTTCAAACCTGCCCGCCGTTTCCTTTTTGCGACCTTGAACGGCCTGACACGAGGCGGTCATTCCGTATTTGATTTGTTGTGGGTCGGTTGGTTGTCCTCTGGGTTGCACGAATATCAGGTTTTCTTGTATTCGCGTCTTTTTTGGCTGTAGCAAATTCACAAAATCAATGCCAAAAGCGTTTATTGTGCTTACTGTGTTTTGTAGTGTACAATTTGGCTCTTTTGTTGCTACGTAACTTGACCTGGGATACCAATTACCCTACTGAACCTCACTCTCCTTGTTTAAAATTCGTTGGGGTCCGCAAAACTGCGTATTCATTATAAATTATCAGTTAAAGATACTATGAATTTGTGTGAATCCTTGTTTTCTGCAAGAATTAAGACGACATGACGAGTAACCCGTAATTCCTAAATGCTTGTAGTCCTTTCTTCAGTTACTGGAGTATTATCGCATGAAATGGCTGTTCTTTCAGTAATTAACGAGTAATGTTTGTGGTAATTTATGTTCCAGAAACATTTCGGTCGACTTAAGTGAGGCGTTTCAACGCATAATACTGAGCAGGCGTTTTGGAAACTGGATTGAATTCCATGGTGTGTTTAAGGAGTTCCAAAAAGTATGGATGCATAATTCCATCCCTTTTCAGACCACCCGTACACATAACATTCACGGCGAAAGTAAACTGCTAAAGGACGTGCGATTTAAATACAGTTTTGTGGTGTTATGAACTAGATGCAGGCACTTGCGAGTGTAATTGTCGAACATTTATGGCTTGTCGATATCCCTGACGTCATATAATACTGACATATGTAAAAAGACCAACTCTTACAGGTAAGCTTAATCAACTACGAAATAAACTAATTAGCTCATCACATACTTAGACCATGCAGCCGATGGAAGTTAAATAAGGACGTGGGAAGGGTTAGTCGTGGAGATAACAGAGTTATTAGGTGTAGGAAGGATTTGAAAGCGACCAACTTGGTCTTGTGTGCAGTTAAGGGTATGAGGGCTAGTATCACTTCCCGGCTGCCCACACCGTGGAAGGGGCTGCCCACACAGTGGAAGGGAAGTTAAATAGCACGCATAACTTCCATTATAATACAACATCATTACCCAGACGGAGTGAAGAGGATATACGAATCCAAAGAAGCCAGAAAGTTCATAAACAACAGATAGTTGAAAAATATGGTGAACACTTCGCCATGGTGGTGGAGAAAAAAGTAGACAATTATCACTTAAAAATCAATAATTAGGTAAGACTGCCATTTCTCAAACATTTCTCTTCCTGCAGTCCTATTTACGATCAGTATATTCGGATGAATAATTGGAGTGGCATTGTTTCCTAATCACATGGTCTCCGGAATCAAGCATATAATAACTAAAAGGATGTAACACTTGGAGAAGGTCGGAAGTGGTGAACGTGGAGATATTCATTCAATCGAATGGCATGAGTCAGTGTTGCAGACGCGCTCATTATGTTTAACTTATTTATATTCACATTAAATATATTATTCTATCCCAAGCATAAATGTGTTCTTCAGAAGTACTAAGTATTGTTATTTGTCGCGATACGATGGGTCAGTGTAGATAGTGATGCGATTTTCACGTAAGATCTTACAGACTAGGCAATCAAACGATAAATTTACCGTTATCGGACAACGTCTATTATGAAAGTAGTATTAGTACCTAACTAGACTATACACATACTGTAAAGATTTAAAGTGTGAAAAACTACAGTTGTTATATTTATATTGTATTTAGATAACGTATTAGATGAATAAACGCGGTAGTGGTCAATACAAAACACAGTTATCGTCAATGTGTGAATTGTTTCTCCGCATAAACTTCCATATTAAGAAATTCGCCAAGTTGTTCACCTGCATAGACTTGATTATTACAAAGATTTGAGCCTTTCAATTAGTTGACAGAAGTCATAAGTTGTATAACAAAATGTATGGATAGCTTGCTCAATGCAATTCTGAAAAACAACAAATCAATCGTGAAAGAAAAGATTAAACTTCGTTATCAGTATCAAGTTCCATAAGTAAATGAAAAAGCAATTGATAGGATGTACCTGTAAGTGTTTTACTTGCTGTAAACAGTGCTCTTCATTTTCTAACCTTCCTACAATTTCATCTAGTTATTCGGTATTAACAAACAAACGAAGGGACTCACAAACTTTAATTAGTTATATGAAATTTGAGAAAAATCCAATTACACCGTTCATAATACTGTTTACATACAATAATGAAATAACTGGTAACCACTATTTAGCGATTACCCGTCAACATGCATTAACACTTTGTTTATGATTTAGTCAGTGATTTCGGATTCCGTTAGCAGAAATTTATATTTTAACCCTATACGAGACATCGTAAAATAGTATTATCTACATGTTTTAGTTACCATGCTCATAACAAACACGCATCGCTTTACTTAAGAAGAGTATTTGGCTAATTTATGTGGCACTTACAGTAATGTTCTACACAATTTCTGTATAAATTCAGAAAGCGGACAGAAAAATCTATCAACACCAATTGTTACTAACATATTTTTTTTCTCACATTACGTAATAACATATCAGTCCAGTTAACAACGATGATACTTATCATGGATTAAACTGTTTACGGCTGTATATTAATAGTTCATATCGTAATGTAGCACGTTATATATTGACGTCCACTTTGAAGCAGGAGCGATCTGAAACAACAACACTACAGTGAGGACCGGTAAGTGCCGTCAAAGTAAGAACACAATGTACTGGTACAACATATATTTTTAAAATTGAAAGACACGGTTGAGTGCAAAAGGGGAAACTTTCTACAGAATAGTTTTATTCATTGTTCTGCTCGTTCAGATCGCGTAGGGCTTCTTCCTCTATTTCCAGTGCGTTTACTCTTTGTTGCCCTGCTATAGAAAAACAAACTTCCATTAGGAACGTCGCATGGAATGATTATTATTACCATTACAAGATTCATGAATAGTTTGACTCTCAATTACAATTTATAAACAACTACTAACACCCACGTTCATCCCCATACAACCAATAAAGGGGAAATAAAGCGAAATTTCCCCTTTCTGTCGCTCTGTTTTTCAAATGTCGCTAAATTGCCGACTTTTACCTTAAATTTTCGACGAATTTCCGATTCGCACCCTAAATATCCGACGAATTGTCTACTTTTCTACTACATGCACACCGATGTAATTAAGCGCCCACTTTTAAAACGCTTCTGTATTTACCCCAACCGCCTCCTGTGTTCACCTTCATTCCCACAACACAGCACACGAATAATGTAATGTACGTAATATATGGTATAAGTTCCAAATTTTTATTGAAAACAAAAAGCTTATTATTGTACAACGTCATGAGCACTTGGCAGATGGTAGAGCATCAATGTTCCTGATGTAATTGCAATTGTCACGGACCAGATATTTCACGTGTTGTTTCTTTCCATCAGGCCTTTTGAACTATGGAGACTCAAATAATTCTTGTGAATTCTAAAATGTAATGAAGAAGAACGTTACTATATCTAGGAAACTTGTTTTGCACAACAAGGTACTTGAAGCTGAACTTACGGTTATATTCTTAAACACGGAAGACTCTACCTATAGATAACGGTAAAACAATAATCACTTTAAAGTCGTACGTACGTGTTCTTTCTTCCGTCGATGACTCTTCTGTACTTTGTCTCTTATGTCGTGAAAATAACTTTGTGTAGCCATGTCATATAGTTTCACAAGGTCTTTCTCAGTGACAGATGACGACAGGGATCGATTAGTAAGTGCACCTGAAGTTTAAAAACCTTATTTATCTTACTTCGTACGCAGCCATAAAACCGGCACTTCTGAATCGCTCGTTTTGATGAAGTACCAAGTAACGTGAAATTAATGGCGACTTCAGGTTCCATGATGTAGGACAGAAGATATCGCATGGAGGTTTTAGGATCATCATTCATTAAACGCGTCAACATAGCCATCTGTAATAGGAATGAAGGATAAAAATCATGTTGTGTGCTTACAAATCTGTCCCTCACGTGCAGGCGAAAAAGCGACATTTCCCCTTTATTTACGCTTTCGTCCGCTTTATTCCCCCTTTTTTCGCTTTTATTTCCACTTTATTGGTTGTTTGGGTCACTACCATAATAAGGGAGGTAAGTCATATGTAAATTATTCTACAGCTTGTTTTTGCTTGAAACTGTAATTTTGGTGTATTTTTGACTTGATAAACGATGAATTTCGCTTGCCTGAGTTTGCGTTGTTACAAATTACCAAGTTAGGCTGACTAAACATTCATCCAGGTTGTCAGCTCCAAATACGTCAGGCAACCAATAGACTGCAATAAACGCCATGTAAAACGCATAAATATTACAAAAATTAACATGTGACGGAAAAATACTGTGATTAGCCGACAAAAAACGACGTTAGAAATCCGCGACAACATGTAACACATAAGCGAGAATCAATGACATGACTTTTCGACCATGCCTTTACTGTATGGTTATTAGAATTTAGTGAGATAATCTGTGATTTGTGTCTAAATACATCCGATTGTTCCCCACCCGTGTTTTGTTTACTACACTTGGACCGATGCATATGTGTGCCTGGTACTACGTTGTAGCTGATTGACTGATTGAGTTAATGGAATAAATGTTTTTTTTTAAAATACATATTTTCTTTTGATATTTAACCATAAGTTTCACTATATTGGGTCCAGTTTTCATTCGAATTTACTATCTTAAAATGATGTAAACCATGAGACCATGAATAACTAAGTTTTATGAACGTATCTGGATTAAGGAATCATTAGCTCTGACTTCTTTTTGTATGGTATACTCGTGTATTCTTTTGAGTATTGAACATTATGCTTAAATTAATATGGCAATACTCATTTAATATGTCTTTACTCATTCATACTCAAACATGAAGCAGTAACAAAAAAGTATATAATACTGTAATTGTTGACTGTTTTCAAACATAATACGTGACATACAGTATTTAAATGTTAATTAACTAACCTCATTACTGAGAATTGAGTAACAAAATAGACAGGAGATTCTATATAAATTTATATGTATATTAATTATAGAAGGGGTTTTGTGGAGACTGGTAGGTCCTGGGTTCGAATCTCGCGAGAGCGGGTTCGTGGATGCGCACTGCTGAGGAGTCCCATAATAGGACGAAACGGCCGTCCAGTGTTTCCAGGTTTTCGATGGTAGTCTAGCTTCAATTGACTCACTCTTTCAACGATGATATATGTATATGCTTTATAATCAACGTATACTTATGTCGATTATAGATTTCTATTTGAAAATATAACGTCAGTTTTTATCAGTTGATGAGTGTATCTGGAACTCTAATATTAAATTAGTTTACACATGATCTTGTTTTAAATTCACTTAGTATTGTTTGTTTGAATCAGCCCATTGATGTTTAGCACTGCAACTGGTCAGTCTCTAATTGACATGTGTGCATACTGTGCGTATTGCCTCGATATAGCCTTAATTTGCAAGCATTATAAGTAAAGATGGATAGTGGCTAGCAATGGATGCAAGTACATCCAGCTGACGAGTCCCAAATAGGATCAAACGCGTGTCCTCCATTCCACTGCTAGCCACCATCCATCTTTGCTTACAATGATCTTGTTTTGTTTATAAATTGGATATTCAAGTAGAAGTTTCAGGTGGACTACTTGAAGAAACTTGTAACTTCATTCACTTGCCTCTGCATTTGTTTAATCAATTAAATTAATCTGATAAGAGAACTTAACAAAAAGTAATCATTTCTGTTTCTTAGGAAATAATAACCACTATTGAAATCTTCATAATAGAAATACTAATTATCATAAAACACTTGCCAATACAATTTTCTTCTCTTTTTTTTAATCACGTTTCAGTTTATGAAATACAGATATTTATAATTGAATAGTTGAAAGCGTGAGCTAGACCATCAGGAAAAACCTGGAAGCACTGGACGACCCACACTTTCAACTATGAAAATTACTAATCTCCACAAAAAACCCCTTCGGATATTTATAAATCAATAAAGAGTAAACTTTGTCGTTTTTTGATAATATTGACTAAGACTTAGTACTTTACCTTAGTATATACACTCTATTAGATCACATGTTATTGTCATATTGTAAACAAATTATGACAAGACTAATATTGTAAACATTATTAAATAATGCATACTATGGACTACGAAAATAAGAATTATTTCTCAAGTTTGTTATTTGTATGTTTGATTAAAGTATAAATTAATTATATGCAGTAATAAAATATTTTTGCCTAATAGTACTACTAGTATTTAGATAAACTAGTGTGGTGTGGGTTACTTATATCCACACAAGTAGTATATAACAATGGTCTGGTATTGAATGTATTTCAGTAGGAGATCGATAAGGAGAGAACGGAAACGGGTTGCAATTGGTATGAAAATGTATGGACAATAATAATCAGAGACTATTGACTGATATTTACAGAAAGAACGGTCATGGTTGAGACAACTGATTAATAGTTTGCTGTACAGTTGTCAGGTTTTAGTGGGACAGTCTGTAATTTCCGTGTCAAATACTTTCGATTTTACTCACTCCTGTTATCATTCACTACATTAGTGATATTCTTCTTAAATATAAAACGGATGTCTATTAATAAAATGAAATAATTTCAACAGGTGAGATCATGAGTCAATCGAAGCTAGACCACCATGGAAAACCTGTATACACTGGACGGACGTTTCGTTCTATTGTGGGACTCCTCAGAAGTGCGTATCCATGATTCCGCCTCGGGAGATTCGAAATAACTTGTTTTTTTTCTAATACCTTAATATTAAGCGATAATCTATCTACAAATCAGAATTTTATTTAGAAATGTCTTAATTAACTTTGCAAATAGATAGTAATCTGGTATGATAGTGAAACTGCTTGACTAAGCATCTAACCAGAATGTTAATATACCTATAAATGAAACCAAATATATATATTCAAGGTTTTTTTTTCCTACTGTCGATAATCATATAACTACAGATTATCAGTCGTTATTGTCTTCTGAATATTAGAGTATTGATGCTAGCGTTGTAGTAAACGAGAACACAAGTGAAGACAATCGAATGTAATTGAATACAAAATTATAGAGCATCTTAGTAAAATATGAGAACCATATAGTTAATACTTCATTTGCAAAATGTCGATCAATCGTTTCACCCTTGATTGTCTTCTCATTTCTACCCTAATAATTCTCTGTACTTGTTCTTTTCTTCTCGATCTTCTTAACCTTGTGCCTCCAGGCGTTTCATTTTCGCCTGATGTTATATACAACTTATATATGTCAAAATCAGTAGGGAAAACTTCACATTGATTATCTGTTTAACACAACCTAACAGTGAAATGCACTACTAGAGCATCATTTTATTTTAACGTTTTCAGTTAACCGTATCTATACTGCACTGTAAAACTTACTGATATACAAAACTAATACTTATTGAATCGTACATTGAAATGTCATTAACTTGACTACTGATCCATATTCACATTTTACATGATTGAGATTTAAAAGTAGAAGGGGATAAACAAATAGCTGAATGATGCGAAACATCGTCAATGAATCATTTTGTCATATTGGCTATAAAAACCATATAAAGTTGTACTACAAAATAAATACACCACAGTACTAACAATATTTGGTAACTTTCATTAAAAGAAGGTCTAAAATATCCTGTTCTGTCTGTATCAGTTTATATATACATGAAGGACTATATATGTTTAATAAATCTATTAAAGTGTAATTATACTATTAGTAAACTGCAGTATACTAATAATAATCACATACTGTCTGGCAATAAACTACATTATGTTACTCCAGGATTTCTAGTGAAGAACCGTGACTAGTGAAGTAAAATCTATATCGCACGTGAGACAGTAATCCACCACAAACAATGTAGGAGTATTGCAAAATACCATGATTACTGTTAAGTTATGCCATACTACGACCAAATGGTTACACAGTTTTTTTCAGGTTTTCTTACTGCTCTAGCTTTTGACCGACACATAATAACAATATTCATAATCAGTTCATTTATTAGTATGAAGAGATTGTTACTTTAGATAATGAATAATTACAATCATATATACAAATAATTGGTAATTATGGTAACGATTATGTCATACATAAATCAAAATATTTGTTTTAATCATATATTCCTTTTCATTTACATACATGGTATATCAAGTGTTTCGAAAATCATATAAAACCCATGGTAAATAGTGGTTATAAGTACTGTTATATTATCAAATAATAACTATCGTCTGTAACTATTTTGATATTAGAAGAATAGAATTATATATGGTGTCCGCTACTTATGTCGATAGACATAAGTAGTATATAACACAAATCAGAAGTAGAATGACTGGCAGCAGAAAGTTGGAATGACCGAATCGAAGAGAACGGTAACAGAGAGCAATTGTTATGGCAATGAAGAAATGATGACGTTTGAAAGAATTGGAGGATTGGCAAATGAAAGACAGAACGTATGGTTTTCACTTTTTACGAAAGAAGTCTGTAATCTGCATTAAAATATAATTGTTTGTTTCCATCTGTATTCTTGTTAATTATATGTATTCAAAGTAAAGAAAACTTTCCTTAAATTACAAAATAATGTCTCCTAAATAATTTTTTGTGGGATTTGTTAATTTAAGGATAATTAAGGATAGAGTCATGCTTCAATAAAAATGCAGCATAGTTATTATTCTCAAAAGAGATTGTTGAGTACATTTATTTGCAATTAAATACTTATGAAACCCGGATACACTGTATATACTGTATATTGAACAGAAATTCCATTAGGTTTATTATTATCTTCAAAAATAAGAGTGAAGTTTGTTTAATTTACGATAAGAAGACATATTATCGCCTGTCTTAACAAACGTTGTGGTCTGTCAAAGTGAACAGAATTGTCATAGAGGAGATTGTTTTTACAACGACTTAAAAAATTAGTTATTAAAGAATTTTTTTATCATCAGTGACCGATATGCATTTTACAATCAAAATATATTGAACAGTTATTTAGTCCGTCTTATCTATGTACACTTTTCACTATGGAAGCAGGAACCAAGTTTTTATATTGTTCAAATAAAGTTTGTTCTGACTAGTATGAATAACAAATGTTAGATTATAACACAGTATATTAATTCGAACCTCAGAAAACGATAGGTTTGCCACTTAAGGATAAGACACATTCATATTCAGAATAGTTAATTTAAGTATCATGGCTATAATGTTCCGTGATTTAGAGAATTTGTCTTTAATCAATACTTCTACGCCCTTTCAACTTTAAAACAACTTGTCGCAAGTACTAATAAGGCCAACCGTCCATGGTCGAAAAATCACCACTAAACAAATGTCTTTTGTTAGAAACGACTGTTAAGTAGATAGTGTTAAGTACAGTCCCAAGTGTCTAGCAACAACGTAAACAAAATCATTCGAGGTCCACA